TGCGGGGAACTCTGCAAAAAACGCATCTTCGCACGGGCAGCCCGTGCGTTGGCCAATTTTGTTTTATATGGAGAGGGATTTTGATTTGGTCTATTTGGCATTGATGCGTTGCTGCAGTGAACAGCCTTCACGGTGTGCAATAATGATTGTTTTTTTGAAAAACGAACACAAACTGCTCAATCTACGAATCATTTTCGTAATGCCTGTCGAAGGATAGCGAATAAAAAAAAAAATTTAATTTTAACTGTTCACCTGTAGTTTGCTAATTCATTCAGATTTAGCTGCTACCGAAGAAAATAAGGAGCTTTTGGAATACTTTTCGGCACAGATGTGCGCTTGTTTGGCAGCGAGGTATGTGGTAGGTACGTTCAGAATTATTTATCATTATCAGGGTTAACTTTTGATATGAGAAATTTGCAAACATTTGTTGCTTTTAAGATATATTTCAATGAAATCGTGAGTAGATTTGCTACTGATTCCAAGTGCCTCCGTTTTTTAGATTGAGTGAATACGTGATGGAGGGGGTGGGGGATTGGTTTTCAAGATTGAGAAAAAAATCTTTTTTGAGATCCGGACGAAATAACATGGGTTTTTAAAAGTAAGTTTTTGAAACAGTCAAGCAGTATCATTGGGGTTGGAGAGTTTTCTTTGAGTCTTGTTGAATTTATTGCGTAATTTATAGCAAAATGAGGATGTAGTGCTGGCTGCATAGCTGCGATAAATGTAAATGTAGAAGTTTGGATCGTTTTCTGCCTCAGTGTACTTACAGTTAGTGGTTTTGGATAACGTGAAATTGGTTTCAACAAATTTTTTGCACTTCTGTGGGATTGAATTCTACGCTTTTTGATAATGTTTTTTCTCTGGCTAAGTTTATGGATTTATGATTTTTTTTGGACTTCATGGATTTCTACGCACTTCCTCGTTTTATACGAGTGCTTTTCTGGAGGACAAATACGAGGAGATATCTTCTTTACATCACAATTTTTGTTTTGCAGGGATGAAGCTGTGTAAGTCATCGGAAGATTGCCGAATTGCGAACAGTACAGTGAGTTTCTGTGCATTTCCGGCTCTTCTGGGTAATATGTCGTTTATGAGGATAACACTCAAACGTAATGCTCCAGTGATGCTCTATGTTGGTTATGTTAAAGAAGTGAGTTGCACAACATTCGAATCATTGTTGATTGTTGCGAAGAAAATGAGTGCTGTCCGCGAGAAAGTTAACGACCACTTGTGTGAGCCTTGAAGAGTAGGTACGTCGGACAAGGCGGTGGGTGCCAACTGGAGGTATGCGGCCGAGGATCGAAACGCCTAGCATATCTGGGATTGGCTTGTACAAACTCAGCAAAATCGTTAAAATGGCATCCCCAAATTCATTTTCAAGGCTTTTTTTTTAATTTGGCTACTCCGAGGAACTGTCTTAGATTTAAGTTTAGGATTATGTGTCTTCATTAGACTAGCAGAGGTAACTTTCAGCTCATTTAGTATTTTTTGAGCGTACTGTAAAACTTTTAAATTTCTATTTTTTACAAGTAAACATAAATATTTAATTGATGTCAAATACTAAGATATTCTACGGGTAAGCGTAAGGAAATAGTGGAGTATATTGGACATATTAAAGACTGAAAATTATATGAAAAATATGAAAAATTAATAATATATTTTTTACCTTACCTTTAAATTATATTAATAATGTGTAAGAAAAATTAATGTTTTAACCAAAACTGAAATATTTTGGTCCATTAAGCTATATACGTCTTAACGCAACACTGCAACTATACCCCATCAGTACAGCGGTTGACTGGCATAAATTATAAATCATTGTTTGAATTTTTTGCAGCTGGAAATGTATGTTCAAGTGAGTAATTATATTCCACGTTCCCGGCTGCTTTCAACCTGGTTACCTTATATCATTGAACTCATCGCAAAGTATCTCTTTACATTTTCGTTTGGTTGGTTTTTGCGCTTTTTTTTACATTAATTTAGACGTGAAAATGATATCGACGAGATTTTGCTTTTGTTTGTTTGCCATGCTTTTATAAAACCGAAAAAACTCTGACCTTGGGATATCTCAAAGCGTTTTTTCTTGTTTCGGTACTCCTCGAGTTATTACGATGGAGAAATTTTATGCGTTTATACCAAAAATTGCCAGCTGTGTGGCTAGCAATTTTTCTTTTTGTTTTGGCCAATGCTGCATCATCTTGTAGCAGTGAGCTTAACGGCGACCCTTACGTTCGTTTTGTCTTAGAAAAATAGGAAAAAAGTTAAAAATTTGAGATATACGTTAAGATTTAGTTCTCAAAAATGGACTGTGCAAAAAATACACGCTTTTTTCAATTGCTTTATACCCATCGTTATTTATATTCTTGGAAATGATCATTTGAATGACCACGGATGAAATGATGTACATTTGTCTCGGTTATGTTAAGCTACCACCGAAAGCTCCACATTGATAATCCGGAGCTTTTTTTTGACTTTCGCAATAGTTTTTTGTTTTAAGTATTAATTTAAAAGTTTTTTTTTGAGAGAATTTTTACAGTTAATGGTATTTTTTTTTATTTGCAGCTCTTGCTATGATCAATGCAATTCCGTGCATTTATCTTGATGGACAAAATATATGCTCCACACTTATAGACATTGTTTTCAGAAGCTGCTCAACACGGCGCGTTTTGTTAAAAAATGAAAGTTTTTCTTGAAAAAAAAATGAAATAAATTGTATTTGGAATACTTAGGCCAATTTTGATAATTCTTAGCCTTGTTCTCGAATTTGCACCGAGCAACTCTTTCACTTGCTCTGTCCAATGCTGCATTGCTTGATGATGATCAAATTGTTGACGATTCTGATGTACGACTTATTTCCTGAAGGAATTAACAGTTCAGCGGTTCTCCTGAAAGAAGGACTGATGGGAAATTCTTTGGTGAACCGATTTATGCTTGAATACTTGAGCAGCTGTATGTCATCGACGTTCGTTGTCACGCCATTGATGCAACTGACAGTTTCTCCATTCAACTCGTTGTTGCGCTCTCCGAGTTCACTTAGTACTGTACAGGCGTACCATGGGGT